AATGTAACGCCATCTATACACGCTCCCCACAAACATTATTCCATAAAACTGCTTGATTCGACATTGTGGCTGTTTTTTATTGAGACGTTGGTAAAATATCCGTCCCACGCAATTCGCAAAGAATGTAAAATCATAAAAATACGAACAAGCGTAAAATATAAAATTATTATTGCACCGGGAGCGTCGAAAAATGCGCGCGATATAATAATAAACGAGCGGCTCTTAAAGCAACGCGTTTTATAGTACAATATGTAAAATGTAAGTACGTACATAGCACAAAGTTCGAACAATGTCTTTAAACGCCTCTACTCTATATCCAACCACCATATATATACATTTCTACCATTGTGTTGGCTGAATTTCCGGCATGCCAATTTAAATCATCAGATTATATTCGAAATTTCATCTTTTTTGCGAATTCCATAAAACGCTTACAACTTTAGCAACGCTTGCAACTTTTTGCAGTACGAAATAAGATATGATATGAAAAACGAAATGAAATAACTGCGGATGAAAAGTGTGTGTGTGTGCATCTTGCGCGTAATACGGCAGGACGCAAGGACTCGCAGGAATTCATCATAAAAGGCATGCCGCGCGCGCACACAGGGGCCGTAATGCATACTTTTATGAGTGATGCACGTTTGTGTTTATAACCCATCGCAACGTTGGCGGTTGCCGACGTTTTGCCCACATGCAATAAATACTTGCGTTTTTATTATCCATCGTTCCCTCGGCACAGATGGAAATACCAAATTACGATATGACATACATGCGCGCATATGTTGGTTATGTTTGTGTTTGTGTGTGTTTGGTGGCCTATACTTTGTACTTTACGTCAACTTTACGTCTGTTCAACGCCACGAGCGCTCGCAACGAATTTCTGTGGTTATGTGTGTGATTATTAATTATGCGGGGCGAGCCGGTTGATAAGTTTACGAGACGCGGCAATTTCCACATGGCAAATGCGCGGAAAGCGTGTTATTAACGTTCGTAATCGAATTGTTAATTGGAAGAAACAGAAAATAACGCTGTGCAGCAATTATCCAATGTTGAAATTGAAAGAAAATTATATTTTGTGCGCATGCGTCATTTGCACAACAGAAATATTCAATTGTATTAACATATTCTTTATTATTTTATTATTTTATTATCAACTATAACTATTTATGACTAAATTAACACAAAAATGAAGGAAAAATGTGTTTTTTCCTCTTTTAACTCATTTTTCTTAACTTTTTTCAATGTTTTAATATTTATTCTGTTATTGGAGGCTTAAACAAACACAAAAAAGCAAAAATTATGAAAATCTGTTAAACCATTCCTCAGTTATTAACAGTTTAGCAACAGAAAAACGTTAAAAATTCAAATTTATGAGAAAAAAATCCTTTTTCCAATTTTAACGCATTTTTAATGACTTTTTCCAATGTTTTAATATTTATTCTCTTATTTGTGACTTTAACAAACCCTAAAAATCAAAAATTATGAAAATCGGTTAAACCATTCTCAAGTTATAAATAGTTTAACATACCACAGATACTAGAATATAGGTTAAAATGAAGTAGCGCCATCTGTATGTATACACGCGTAACTCAAACATTGTTAATCAGCGTTATTAACGTCTGTAATCGAATAGTTAATTGAAAGAAACTGAAAATAACACTGCTCGGCAATTATCCAATATAGAAATTAAAAGAAAATCGTATTTTGTGCGCATGCGTCATTGCATCACATAAATATTCAATCCTATGAACATGTTTTTATTATTTTATATTTCCACTATCAACCATAACTACTTACGATTAAATTAACACAAAAACAAAAAAATACCGCTGCATATGAATAAACACGCGTTTTGTCCTGTCAGTTAAAATTAAACGTAAAATAAAATCACATAAGGTACTTAATAATTTATGCGTCCCCAATGCCAAACGCTCTCGCCTTTTATTTGTAAGTATGGTGCAGTCATGCCACATGACTTAAAAGTTAATAACTTAAGTCATACTCATTTACTCATATTCTTACTTACTCAACACAACACACACTTAGCTATGCATTATACGTACAGGCTGTCTGCCTGTAGTCATAAGTCATATTCATCGTAAGTTTACTTAGAAAAACACACACAACGCTTGAGTTTAAGTTAAAACGCGCTTGCTTCACACATTTGTTTGAATTTGAATATTGTTTGAAATGCTGTTTCTGTTTGAATAGGAATAAAACAAATGACTTTAAACAAGACTCGCGCGGCGTGTGTACACTTAATTAATTCCAATTCTCGGACGCGGGCTTCGAGCAGCAAGCAAATAATGAATCAAGTGAATTGTGTATAGAATAAAATCAATGAATAGACAAATTTTCTCGGAATGCATAAAAGCGAATTTGAAAACAACTCAAAGGTTGAATGTATATTTAAAAATTCAGTGTAAATTATTGGTGGTTTTTTGTCATTTCGGAGGTCAAAATGTTAAATTTTGAATTATGCTTTACACGATTATTTTTTAAATAAATTATTGTGTGAATTTAAATCAATTTTGTGATTAAAATAAAAATATTTTGTTTATAACTTTGAAATTTATGTAAAAAAATTAGTTTTTCTTTGATATTTTTTGTATATTTAATGTTTTTTGATATTTTAATAGTTTTTCTGTTATTTGGGGCTTAAAAACATCCAACAAATTAAAAATCATAAAAATCGGTCGAGTAGTTATTAAGTTATAAACGTTTTAACATACCCGACATTGTTTAATATAGGTTATAAGCATGTAGCGCCATCTACAGATGATATTGATGAATGATTACCATGCAAACGCTTGGTAGACATAGTAACAATCGAAAAAACTCTCAGTTAAAATCTAAAAATCATTTTTAGACGTTTTAAATCACAAAAATTGATTTCCAGCATCAACTATAAATAAAATTTTAATTATTAATAAAATCCCGGCGCAAACGATTCAATTTTACAGCTCATAAATTAAACTCGGCTACCATAGAGCTTCGTCTATTCATTAAGCGTTATTAAAATTAAAATTCGCATTTCTAGACGAAATAAAAATGCGATTTCGCGTTCGAAAAAGTTGTCTGGCCAAAACCGATCGTTAAAACCGTAAAACCTTGCGTTTTTTCCCAATTCACTCAGTCAGTAAGGTGTGTTTCACTCTAAAATTATGCCCGCGTCAATTTAATAAAGATTTAATGAAGTACAGCGCAAAAAACGCGTCGGTCTGAGTAATTAAAACAGATTTAACTATTTCAACGTCTTGCAGAATAAATATTATTGAATATGGGTTATAAACAGAAGCAAGTGTTTGTAAACTAAAAATATAACGCTTCTAAAATGTTCTCTTTGTTGTAATATTGTTGTGTAATGTTTTTTGTGTTTAACGATTGGAGAATAGAATGCTTTTCTTGTGAAAAAGCGCCGCCGTATCGTAATCGCATGCGTGCGACATGGAAACACACTCGGGCTTCCAATGTTCCGACGAAAATGTCGACGCGAGTACGAAGTACACGCGCGATTTCAGTTTAAGTTGAAGTTTAAGTTTACTACGGCCGACGACTTTGAGCTTAATGCGCGCCGAAGTATTTTTATTAGTTTCGAGTTTAAAAGTGGAAAAAGATTTGTGCGCGCCGTCGTCGCTTCGTTATTTTTTATGCGCCTTGCATTAGCGATAACAACTTGACAACTACTTGGCTGCAAATAAAGAAAAAAAAAACTCAGCTTACATCAATTTATAACGTTTTATGCGAGGCTAACGGTCAAGCGAGAATTGAATTCAAAAGTAACTCGAAGTAAAATTTTAATTTTTTTTCTAAAACGAATTATTTTTATATTTTTATGCATTTTACGCGATAAATTACAGAATTACGGAATCTAATACCACGACTTTCCAATTTTGCATTGATATTTGATAGGTGGTGATAGCACCAGCATGTAAACGACGTCTGATGGCGTTTTAATTAAGGAAAAATGTGTATAAACTTTTTTTTCTACTCTCGCATTAAAAAAATCTAAAATTTGATATGCCATCAACATTTCTACACGAGGAAATTTCGATTCGACATTCTACGCTGCGTTAAACGAATTAACGTGTCTGTAAATTAATTTAACGATGAGTTTTAGTGTTGTGTTTTTTTTTTCTACCTCGGACTCGAGCGATCTCCAGCTGCTGGAAGGCGAAATGCTTTTCATTTAAGTTTAACATAGGTACACATACCAAGAGAGATATATAAATGTCAATGATGGAGTGCAGTGATTCGGAATTTGAAATTTAATGCGATTTTAATTCGATGATTTTTTTCGGTTATTTTGATTTGTTATGGAATTTAAGTTTTAAATTACGTTTTAATACTTATCTAAAATTAATTTTTGAGGTTATTGACAAGATAATTTTTGACAGGTCGTATTTTTTAATGTTTCAAGGTTATTGACTTTTGGGAATTATATTTTAATTAATTGTATTCAATTTTATACTTTAAAATAACAAAAAAACATCGAAAAATGATAAAAATTAGAAAATAAAGAAGAAAAATTATTATTCTGATGAGGTTATGTTGTATTTTCAGTAGGAAGTTTGTCAAAACTGTCAAAAAGTTATGTTTTAACCTCTTTTTGAGGTTATTGACAAGATAATTTTTGACAAGCGTTAAAAAAACTGCCGCAAATCAGAAAACAATAAAATTGACACAAAAAAGAAGAAAAATCATTATTCTGATGAGGTTATGTCGTATTTTCTGTCAAAAATGTGTCAAAACTGTCAAAAACCTATGTTTTAACCTCTTTTTGAGGTTATTGACAAGATAATTTTTGACAGGCTTGAAAAAAACCGGAGAAACATCAGAAAACAATAAAAATAAAAGAAATAAAGACGAAAAATCAGTATTCTGATGAGGTTATGTCGTATTTTTAGTCAGAAGTCTGTCAAAACTGGCAAAAACTCATGTTTTTACCACATTTTGAGGTTATTTCTTCCCAACTGTCAAAAAAAAAAACAAAAAAACGCTTGTTTTTCACTAGATGTCATTAGTAACATAATAAAACACACAACAATTCCAATTCACGCACATACGCATAAAAATGACCGTGGATAACAAATTTAACGAGTTTAAGGTTAGATGCGTCGCGAGGTGCGTGTTTTCGCTCGGCTTATTAAAATCCCTAATGATGATGACGCTGAAACCGAATGTTTTCCTGCCTGCGACAATCCGTGATTCTTCAACGTGCACACCGTCTATGAATGTGCTTATTAGACTCGGTCGTACTGTCAATATTTATCTTCTAATCAAAACGAATTGAACCAACTCGGCAGGCTGTTAAGCTCGACATGCGGCCGCATGTGCGTCACGTTCGCGTTCCCATTCGTCTCCGACTCCGACATCCTGCCGTCGCCATTATTGTGAGGCTTTAAAAATTTAAATCAACACAACCGGCACTCGGTAAACGTAAACTCGTAAAGGAAGAAGAGATCCAGAATAAATACGTGTGCGGTTGGTGTAAGTCTTCTTGAAGGTATACGTAAGGCAAAAACGCATTTTAATCGTTTGCTCTGCTGCTTAGCACAGCGTCACTAGAATCACACAAGAGATGACATATTTTCAGAGTTTTGAGTCTACAATGTTATTTCGTTCTTACTCATGTGGTGTCATAGTTTATGATTTCCAAGAGACACGACTTTGTTCGTTCGTCCCTCGTTGAGAGTTGTGTAGTATGGCATTTGTGTCGTTCGTGGTTGTAAGTTTAATTTTCTTATTTGTATGAATCGTGTGCGGTACGGTTGTGTGCATGGCGGTCACGTTCGGCGGGGCGACGACGTTGTGTGTTTTGTCAAGAAGTCAAGACCCGACTGCGGGCGTCCGCTTTTATTCCGCTTTTATGAGTAATGCCAAGTAATGCGAGGCCTTTATTTGTCTAGGTAGCACAAACACTCCGCGTCGAGTCGTGTATTTTTTTCTGAAATTGAAATTCTAACCTCAACGCATGAATGTTTCCGAAACAATATTATTGAAGCGTGTAAATCTGGTGGCCTATCTCTATATCAAGGTGACAGTTGTGAGCAACGTACAATTACCAGCCGAGCATTGTTTGGGAGCGTATCAAATGTGTTTTCAATTATAATCATGATTGGTTGACTTGTTTTACATCATGTTGACGTTGTTGTTGGTTAAAATGCAATTTTCATCGATAAAAATCGAGCGCCGGCGATACGCTGCGTTTGATACTGCTGTGTGTGCTGTGCTACGAGGGCATTAGGAAAATGTATCGGTCGCAATCTGAAATATTTCGAAACGCGAGCGCCGTGAGCAATAAATCATGCCCTCGAGAGCGCCTCGCGGCGTTCGTAGATTAAATGCGCTCCGGCTTTAATTTATTTATGATTAATGGCGAACGCATCGGCCAAAAACTGAAAACTGAAAACAAAAAAACCATTCACTGCAAAAAATATCGTCTAACCTCAAATTTGATCTACATTTTGATCTATAACTGTCAAAATGTCAAAAATATTCGAGGTTTGAATAAATTGTAAGTAAAATTGTCTAAAAACACCAAAACTGTTTTAATTTATGCTATTATGTTGGATTTGCTCCGCCCACAAAGGGTTTTATGATTGGTCTATGATAAAATGACAGCTGACATGCAGTTAATCATAGAAACAGGTTGAAAAATAAAGAAAAAGCGTTTTAAATGCAGGTTTGAAGACAATTGTGAATTATTTTGTATTAAAAGCATCAAAAACGTTGTAATTTCATAGATTATGACGTATTTGCTCCGCCCACATGGCATATTCTGATTGGTTTACGAAAAATGACAGATAACACGCAGAAACAAGTTAAAAACATTAAAAAATCATTTTAAAAGCAGGTTTTCAATTATTTTGCATAAAAACGATCAAAAACGTTAAAATTTAACTTAGGGCACTTTACTAGCTCCGCCCATAAAGTGTTCTGTGATTGGTTTACGAAAAAAATGACAGTTGACATGCAGTTAACCTCAAAAAAGTTAATTTTGAAAAAATTCAATAAAACTTTAAATTAATTTCGATAAAACCTATAACTGTCAAAAATATTCGAGGTTATGTTAATAATGATAATTTTCGTACGTTTTCGTCCTGAAAGTAGAAAATTAATGACGGTATTATGTCTACATCTCTATAGATATTCTCCGGGTGTTGTGTATGCACGTAGCCAGCGTATCCAATGAGTAATTAGTGCGCGTATGCAATGATTGTTGTTATAAACGAGGAAACGCCGCGGCGTGCCGTGCGGAGGATGATGAATTCGGTGCGCGTCGCGTTTGTTCGTTCGACGCACAATTGAAATTAATGACGCCGGCGTATTATAATTAATCACATCCACATCCAGCAAGCTTCACCCCTCACATACACATAGATTAGCATCCTGCGCGCATCCAGACGCTAATCTCATCTATCATATTGAACACATTCCAAGTTTGCAGCGCCCGCTCAAAACTCAATTCGACGCTCAAATTGTAATTTCTACATTGTCTTCATAATCATTGTAATTTTCTATCCTGCAACACATAGGAAATATTATTTGAAGATGATTTAAACGTAAAATTTAAATTTGTATGTGTGTGTGTTGAGAGGAAGCAGCAGAAAAACGAAAATAATATTACGGAGAGTTTTTCGTCTGAATACGTCTGAAATCGAAGACCGGAGGCGAAAAAACGCCATGCACATCAACTTCAACTGGCTCTTTCGTGATGTTCCACCAGTTTCTCGCCGCTCACGCACTTCAAAAAGAGGAAATTACATGTTATTTATGTCTCTCTGCTTGTACTTCGCTTCCATTCATGCGGGGAATAATTTAAAATGCACTTTCAACAACCGCCAGCGTTTATTTCACGCTTATCATAATTCCAGCGTTGAAAAAATCCATTTTCGGGTGTAATTTTAACAATAACACGCTTCAGACAACAGATGGCACTACAAACAACGCAACATAACCTTATTATATACTCAAAATATATTTTGCAGTAAATTTGTTGATTTTTAACCGAAATTAACTTAATTAAAATGAGTTTAATTTGCGAACTGTACACACACTTGGCCTAATTATAAAACTCCAAAGTCGGATTCAGGTGTATGCTTTAATTTCATCAACACACTCATGTGGAGTGGCGGAGTGTTGACCTTAATAACATAATTAAATTTAATCGCCAGTGTCAATCGATAAAATTAGCGAGTTTGCGTCGCGGCCGCGCGCCGTGACATAATGACGCCGGCACGAAAGCGTTAGATACGTTTCTATTAACCATTAACCGTTCGCCATTAAAACGAGCGCGCAACGTGCAAAACGGGCCGAAATTACACACTAACGACGCGCGCCTCACACATTTCCAAAGTACGCTAAACGACGACCAGACGCCGCTGTTAAGCAAACAACTGCATCGCCGTCTAGCGCACTAAAAACGACCATCGAACAAACATAACCTCAATTATCTTCTATTCACCATTGTATCCTGTTACGCATTCGGTTTATTACAGTCAATTTGGTGAATTATGTTAATTTTTCTGTTGGTTTCGCCCCGAAATTGTTGATAATTCTCTATGTTTACTCGTGACGTCATTTCTATAACCTCATTTCGTGCGCTAGCGATGAATGTGTGTTGAATTTCGATTCTAGTAGCAAATGGTGCTTAATTATGCTAATTTTTGTTGGCGGGACGTTAATTTTCGGGCGCTTTTCGAATTTTCGTGCCGGCGACACACGTCACGTCCGAAACGTCGAAGCTGCATTTAAAATAACAGCGAAAGGCACGTCGTGTCTATCCTACGTGTGTGTGGACTGAGCAGCGACGCTGCATATTATACGTGCATACCGAATCGAATGGTCGGATGTCGCATGTGGAATGAGGAATGCGTCGAATGTGTCGAATGCATAAATGATTGCATGCCCGGATGGATCGGCGATGCGAACCGCGATTAGAATTACAAATTTTACGAATTATCTGCCTTGGCGTGCACCAACAAAGTACGTTAGACCATTGGGGACACGCCCATTTTTAATTTAGACTGTGTTTTGGTAACAGGAAGTAAAAATGTCATTTTTAATTGAGGTTTGAATTAAATTGGAAGTTGTATTGTCGAAAAACAGTCAAAAATCGTTATTTTTTAAAGAATTGTGGTTAATTTGCTCCGCCTATAAAGTATTACTGATTGGTTTATGATAAAATGACAGCTGACATGTACTTAATCATAGAAACAGGTTAAAAAGTAAAAAATGTCATTTTAAAGCGTAAATTGTAAGTAAAATTGTATAAAAACAATAAAACGGTTCTAATTTATGCTATTATGTTCGATTTGCTCCGCCCACGAAGGGTTTTATGATTGGTTTATGATAAAATGACAGCTGACATGCAGTTAATCATAGAAACAGGTTAAAAAATAAAGAAAAATCGTTTTAAATGCAAGTTTGAAGACAATGCAAGAATTATTTTGTATAAATAGCATCAAAAACGTTGTAATTTAATAGATTATGCCGTATTTGCTCCGCCCACATAGTGTATTCTGATTGGTTTATGAAAAAATAACAAATAATACGTAGAAACAGGTTAAAACGCTAAAAATGTCGTTTTAAAGCGTAAATTGTAAGAAAAATTGTATAAAAACAATAAAACGGTTATAATTTATGCTATTATGTTTGATTTGCTCCGCCCACGAAGGGTTTTATGATTGGTTTATGATAAAATGACAGCTGACATGCCGTTAATCATAGAAACGGGTTATAAAATAAAGAAAAAGCGTTTTAAATGCTTTGAAGAGAGAAGTTTGAAGACAATTGTGAATTATTTTGTATGAAAACCATCAAAAACGTTGTAATTTAATAGATTATGCCGTATTTGCTCCGCCCACATAGTGTATTCTGATTGGTTTACGAAAAATTGACAGATAACACGCAGAAATAGGTTAAAAACATTAAAAAAGTCATTTTAAATGCTGATTTTTACTTATTTTGTATAAAAACAATCAAAAACGTTAGAAATTAACTTAGTTCATTTTATTAGCTCCGCCCCAAAAGTGTTCTGTGATTGGTTTACGGAAAATGACAGCTAACACACAGAAACATGTTAAAAACATTAAAAAAAGTCATTTTAAACGCTGCTTTTGAATTATTTTGTATAAAAACGACCAAAAACGTTAGAATTTAACGTATTTCACTTTACTAGCTCCACCCCTAAAGTGTTTTGTGATTGATTCACAGAAAAATGACAGTTGACATGCAGTTAACCTTAAAAAAGTTAATTTTGAAAAAAAATTCCATTTAATGCTATTATTCAATAAAACTATAATCTAATTTCGATAAAAATGCTAAAAAACACTATAATTGAACAAATAATATCCAATTTGCCCCGCCCACAAAATACATTTTGATTGGTCTGTGCAGCAGTGACAGCTGACATCGAGTTCATCATTGAAACAGGTTAAAAAACCATTCGGAAAACCGAAACAAAAGAATAAAAGCAACAAAGATTGATTGGAAATATTGGAAATGCGTTCGTTTTGATTGAAACAAATTACAATTTCACGAACGCAATTGAAATTGATGGACACAGTCGATGGCTGAATGTCCGCCGTGTGCGCGTTTCCAATTCGAAAACTAGTATCGAATAACAAGCGGCGTATCGATTTGATTTCGTGCCGATTACAATCAGCGAGTGTCTTACTTAATGCCAATCGTCCGCCTCTCCGAATTGACATTAACATCAAATGTCGTTAATGAAGGTTAATTGAACTGTCTAAAAATACTGTGTCTGTTATTAGCTATCGATTACGTGTACGTGTATAAAGAATATACAGCAGACAAAGTTTACAATACTCATTAGATATTCTTATTATCGTTTTGTCATGATTGTCATAATTTATGTGTATACGCCGCGTGCTTTTCGTATTAACCTTTCTATGC